AAAAGCTAAAGTACTTCACAGAAACCCAACCAAAAAACCAAAAAAAAAATAAAGAATTTCGCGATGCGGTTCACTGAGTGATGTTGCTGTTATTGTTATTGTTAGTGCTGATGTTGCTTGTTCCTGTGGTCGATCAGTTGCTGTTGTTGCATGTTTTTGGTGTAGCTCCTGATGCTGCTGCTGGTGTCATGTCGTTCATCAGCGTAACAATTTTTATTGCCATCCGGACCGCAACTTTGTTGTCGATAAAATTTTAATTCGCTTTGGCTTACATATTTTTTTTTCGGGGAGCTCCCTTTATGGGATTTCAATTTTCAGCTTGAATGGAACAAGATTCTCTGAAATAAAAGGGTACTTTAATTATTAAACCAAAGAGAAAATTGTAAAATTTATAATAAGGTGGATAGTTACTTTCTTTTTTAAAAACATAATAATCCAAAGACTATTTCTTTTATTTTTGATAAATTATTTCAGTAAAGAGTCCCCAGTATTCGTTGTGTGTCCTTTTTTGGACATTTTTGCATGCATCCTTCGACTGCCCTGCGCCAAATTGATTTATAGCGTTCAAACACGTTTCCCCCCAAAAAAAAAAACCTCAAAAAAAACCAAAGCAGACAAGGGAACACCACAGCAATCACGTCCCCAATTATAAACACAACTAATTGCCCCAGTAAATGTTGCATGAAAGCGTTGCAAATCCTTAATAACATGGCATACAAATGTTGTGCTAAATTGTCAACATTAGCGGAAGAAGCTCCATCTGCAACAGAGACCCCAGTTGCAACAGCACCACTTGACACCACTGGTGGCCAATGGGTAACAATGTAAGAAACATGGAAAAACTTCTATGGGATGCATTTATCATGGCTACCGTTTTTAGATTTGCACGCTTTTGACCTGCAACAGCAACAGCAGCAAAAGCAACAACAACTGCAACGCGTGCCACCGGCAACACCAGCAGCCACAAAGCTTAAACACAATGGCAACACGAAACCTTGAAAACCTCTTTGTTGAACTTGCTCAGTGATCTTTGATCTTATCTGGGCTGAGCAGTGGCAGGTAAAAGTGTTATACTTGAGGCAAGTAAACTGAGAAAAATAAATCCTATAAAATATTTATAAAATTCTATTAAATTAAGTCACCCAACTCAATTATTAAAAGAAGAACAAGCTTTAAAAATATTTAATTAAACTAATAAATAATTATAATTATAATAATAACACCTTCTACCTTTGTATATACACAAACCTTAAATTGAAATTTTCACATTTCTCAAGCTTTACGGCGTGTCTTTATTAATCGTTTGTACCCCACTTTAGTCAACCCAAAATGCATAATACGTTCACGCCCCAAAAACATGTTGCAAGTGCCACTTTTGGGCTGTGCCCCTCGCCCCCTTCATGCGCCACGATTACTCGGCCCATTTGTCGAGGCTGTTAAATGCGTTTTTAAAGTGCACAAGACCCGCCCACGGGGCGTATGAAACATTTTCAGTTCGCAGTTATGCATTGGCGGCAATTAGCCGGCGAATGTCATAAATGAACCAGCAATGCCAACACAGAACGACCATAACTACCAGGGCCACTCACGGCTGTCAAAAAGTACGCCAACTAATGACAGTGCGATTGGAACTGAAATTGGATTGGAGAAGGGGCCATGGGGTGTTGGGTATACCAGAAATGGGAATCGAAATGGGGTCTCGAAATGCTCTCGAATGGGCCTTGTGCGACTGCGATCCTGGGGCCGCAAGATGTAAGCCAATGTGAAGTAATTACACATGCAAATTGCCAAGCACAAACCTCAAAACCATAGCCTCGCCACGGAGTGAAGACCATAAATCAGATGTCAGTTGCCAGTTTACAGATCTCAGTTTGTCCAAGTACACACGTCAAAATGCATGATGATGCAGGGGGAATGGGCTTTAATGGAGAAACTTCATTAGAAGAAAAGTCAAACCAAACAGGCCCCATGAGATCATTAACAAATTGGGATAATTAGAGGCCCAAAACCCACATAAGAAAATCAAATCGAAAAATAAACTATAAGATACTATATAACATTTATTGTTTTTTCTTTCTCTTTCCAAAATCATCTACCAACTGGTTCATTTCATCCTGCCACCTTGGACTCCTCCAAAGCCCTAGCTCACCTGCAACTTGGCAACACATTTGGACCAGAATTGCAACCAGCCCAGCGATATGTTGCTAGTGTGTCGCCCAGCAGCAGCAATTGCTGCTGACGTCGACGCGGCGACAAAAAACACGCTGCCAAGTGATGCGGCGCACAGCAGAAGCAGCAACAGTAGCTAAGCCGCGTGGCAACAGCAACATCAAGTAGCAAGTAGCAGACAGCACCTAGAACCCAGCTTCGTGTTGGGATTCGGTTTTTGGTTCGTGAGCTGAAGATGCTGCTGGTGGCTGGTTGGGATGGCTGGGATGGCTTAGGAACCTCCAAATAGATTCCCTCAAGCAACTACTAAACTCTTACAAAAATCGTATGAAAAAATACACGGTGTTGGTCTCGTTAAAGTGCCAACATGTCCAGTTGCTTATCAGTCAACTCAGTTTTTTCCGCTTGTCATAAATTATGAGAACTGTTGCGGTTTTATGGCCGCCTTTTGTTTACACAGCAGGCAGTTAGGTTAAGGAAAACACCCACAGAAACACACTTTTACACACACTCACGTTGAAAAAAATTTAGGAGAATATTTAAAGGTTTTATAAATATGATACTGATATTTTCAAAATGATATAGATAAGTGTAAATCATTAGAACCCTTTTATAAATCCTTTGTTTCTACGATATATTTAAGAAAGCCACAAAATATTAAAACGTGTAAATAGTTCGTGAAAATCATCTATTGAGACTTTTAATGGATTTCTTAAATTTCCTTAATTTACTATAAAAATTTTAAGATATAAAATATTTTTTTAAATATTATAAAAGTCTCTATAACTAAAACCACCAGAATTTGTTAGGAAACACATTTTATAATGTTTTCTAGTCATAGAAATTACATTAGAAATTACATTTCATAGAAATTACATTAAGCCCTCTCCAAATTCATAGATTACAGCCTAAATAAACATCATAAATTTTAAATTCTTTCCAATGTTACTGTAATTTTTTTTAAATTTTTTAAACATACTTCTTGCAGTGTACTAGTGAAGTATGCCACATTTATACGGAAGACTCACGCGTGGTCGCAACGATAACTCATCCGAGTCACGCCGTCTGCCACGGCCTCCGGATCGTTCCGCTTGCCCTGCTCCGGAGTTCATCTAACAGCGGGAGGAGCTGCACCAAAGCCAGCAACAACAAAAGCAACAAGACGCCCGGCACTTCCTGCCAAACCCTTGAGGTGAGCCAAAAACCCCACCCACCTCACCTCCAACGCCACCTCCACCCACCGGCTTGCAAATCATTTGTGAAATGCAGAAACGCACGCTAGCAATGAGCTCGTTTGAAATCCAAACATTTTCACTTACCTCCTTCAGAGGCATGCCTCCATTTTCCGATTTTCTATTTTACCAAAGCCCCCTACTATTCTCTGGACACTTTTCCCCCGCCCTGTGGAGTCATTGGTGCGTGTTGGCTGGCAAATGCCAAACATTTTTAGATGCGACTGCGAACCGGAGCTTGTAAATACTTTCGAGTTGTGCAGAAGTGGAGAAAGATTTGCTGCCGTCTTCGCGGTATTCACGGTTTCGTCGTCTCTTCCAGCGATTGGCATTTCTCTGGCAGCAGAACATTTTTAATGCATTTTTAATTAATTTCCTGGCTGATGAATGGTGTGGTTCTACGAAGGGAACTGGGCGCTTCAGTAAAGACAAAGTTGCCATTTTTAGTTGAAAATTTAAAAAGTGATGGAAAATGAGAAAGAATTTAAAAAGAAGGAAAATAAAACTAAAATTTTTAAACTCATTCATTTTATTTTCAGCATGTAAACCAAGATATTTATAGTAAACATATTTAAATATTCTTTCAATCCTTGCAAACTTACAAATATATTTTATTTTTATAATTAAGCCATTATAGCCCCCACTTTTTGTTTACCTATTCCTCTAAATTACCTAATTATACACTAAACATTTTTAATTGGAACTCTTTTAAAGCCAACGATGGCATATAGGAGCCATTTATTTTATTAGTAAAAATAATCCAAGGAGTAATACTCACTCTGCTAGTAGCTGCAAAGCTTTTCCTTCACAACCACTCGACAGGCACTAACCCTAATTGAGCCATCAATTAATTAGCCAGTTGAGGCAGTTGAGCATTTGAAGAAATAGTGGGAATTATCAATTTCACGACCAGGACGAGGACCCAGACCCGGACGGTGTATGCGGACCATTGCCCAGAAGTGGGCATTAAAAATTATGAAGCCTCAGGTCGTAAAAGGCAAGCGGGGTCGCAGTGGCCTTATCATAAAAGATAATAAACCGATGTGGAAACTGGAAATCGGTAGTGGAACTTGAATTCATTTCCCATTCCCCAAACTTACCATCCACAAACAATGTCCGTGTGAATGGAAGGAAACTGGTTGTTGCTGCGGGCGTCGCTGTTGCCTGTTTCTGTTGCTGTGTGGCTGATGGTGTTGCTGTGTTGCTTGTGTATATGTTGCTGCCAGCTGCTCTGCTCTGTTGACTGACTTGCCCGGCCTGCCTGCCTGCTTGGCAGCCTGGCTGCCTGGCCTATTGAATGTGCATCAAAATTTATGTGGCCTTTTTTAGTCGTTTGCGTTGAGCCAGCGGAAGCGAACGTGTTGCCGGAGCAACAGCAACCATCCTACCATCCAGCAATATCAACTAAAGCAGCAATCGTCGCGTGTTGCCAGTTTCTGTGTAAAAATCCCAGTGAGAGACAGGTTGCACGTCTATTTCGTAACCATTTTTAAAAAGTGTGTGTGCATAATTTTTAAATCCATTGCGAAATAAGTGAGAAACCATAAAAAATATATACAAATATTTAAATCCTATAAGCATCAAAAAATTTACGTGACGGGGAGGGATCTTTGACCTTTGCCACCTGTTGCGGTTTTGCGGAAAAATAATTTCTAAAAGGTAATTAAATAATTATGCAATCATCTGCTATCTAAGCTGATGATGAAAATTAATCAACTCGTGGGTAGACATAAATATGCAAATTAAATTGAGGAACCGGAGATTGTTACACTTTGTTGGTCATCCGAACAAGAACATGTTTTGCGGTTGTAGCTTGATTTTTCCCCCCTATGTTTAAGCCAGTTTCTTTTTAGCCAAGCGTGAGAATATTCACTGGGCATTAATTAGCCAAGAAAATCTGCAGAAAGTCATCGGTTAGTTGGTGTGGTATTTGTACCTTTCAACTAATTGCCGAAGATCGTAAAACACGCTATATTTCGCGACCATAAGGCACTGGTATATGGGGGTGGATGGAAATGGAATCAATTGCCAGACGGGTGGGCAAGTATCTGAGATGAGATTTAACCAGGTGTGTTTGTGTAGACCGCCTTTAAGTGCTCGTGAGCAGCATAAATCACACCCCGGCTATGCCTAGCCATGTTGCACAGCATGGTCCATGGTCCATGGCCCGGACCATTCCACAGACTCATTAAGGTTTTAATTTACAAGTTTAACTCGAGATTTAAACACTGAGATTTATATGCGTGCCGCGCGAGGCAATAATCAACGGCAACAACTCGCAATCACGTACGGCCACAAACGAACCCACCAGAACCAGCAACATCGGTACCATCGGCAACACCAGCTAACTGCCACAACATGCGCCAATGTCCACCTACGCAGATTGGTTAAACAAACCCTCATTGAGGAGGCCCGTGTCGGAACCGAGTCTGTTCGTAATCGAATATGCAACTCATGAGGGGAAACTTTAAGACAAAACATGACAACATGAAACAAATGCAAAGGCATCAGCCCAAGACACGACGAAGAAGATTTGTGCAAACAAACCGACTCTGAAATCATTTAGTCGGGACAGGATGATACTCACTTTCAAAAGAAATTAATTTACAGATGAACTACTATTATGGTACTCTTAAAAAAGGGGGGACATTTTATACAAGCTTTTTACATTTTTTAAACAAACATATGTAGGTCTATATACCCCTAGTTAGTGTATAAATTCAACCAAAAATTACAACGTTGATTAAGCACGCCTCAAATGAGGTTTGTCAGAGGCCTGACCTTACACAACCAGCCAACATCCCGAGCAGGAACATCAGCAACAACTCTGGCACGCACCTGCAACTTGCAACTTGCAACAGCCGCCAATCATTTGAGGATGGCAACAGCTATAGCCACTCTTGAAGAGGACTAGAGCAACACGTGCATGTGATTTGGAAGACAAAAACCGTTCTAATTTCTCAACTGTCAGCTGAGAGAGGCTTTTCCTCTGGCCAACATGCTACTTGCAACGGGCAACTTGCAACCCCAACTCGTTAGCTTGGCTGTTGCCATAGCAATTATGCAGCTGAGCCTCACAAAAGAAGGTCGACATTGCTGTTGCTGTGGCGTTTGCTTCCACACTGCCTCATGTCTTTATTTTGGTCGCTGTTTTTTCTTGCACCAGCTACACATGTTGCTGGTGTGCTCGAGTGGAGCAACAGCCACAGCAGCAGCAGCGGCAGCATCAGCAATTGCAACGTTTTTGTCTGGTTGTTTGCATTGCCCAGCGCTTTTGGCCTTTGGCGCTGGGATGTTAGCCCTAAACCCAGCTGCCTTTATTAAGCCACCGCGCCAAGTGACTCGCCCCACCATCGCCCCAACAACTGCAATCTGGGTGCTTTTTTAATAGTTTTTTTTTTTTGTTTAGGCGAAAACTAGTTTTTTTTTAGTTGGACCCTCGGGTGCTGACGTCGCCTCTGGTTTTTCTATAGTTTTTCCATCTATCCTACTCCCTCTAATATGCAGCGCTTTAATTTTTCCATTTTATTTGCAACACTTGTCGTTTAAATGCAGCAGCAACGGCAGCGGCAAAGTGTGGCCAATAAATTAAGTGACGCCAAAAAAAAAAAAAGCCAACAGTCACACACTCGAGCAGAAATATCATCAAGCCTAAGCCAAGTTAATCCACAGAGAAAAAATTCTAGTAATTTAGAGAATTAGAAGTAATTTATACTATTTTATGAACTTTTATAGTCTGTCTTGAAACAACCATATTATGATAGAGGTTCTGGAAATATTGTATCATCTATAACTCTTTCTTATAGATTCTTAAAGCAAAGATATTATAGTATGAAATTTTAGAAAACAATCTTATAGAAAATATTATACTCCTTAAATTTTGTATAATATTTTTTCATCAAAAACCAAAATTTCTTCATGTGCCTCTGCCGGAATCAAAGAAAATTATCTATGTATGTCTGGCAGGTTCTCAGGCCAAAGTCTCGGGTCTTAAGATCCAGCTCCCAAGTCGCAGGTCCCCAGTTCCCCGGCCCCCGGTCTCCCCAACTTTTTTTTGAGTTCGGTCTCCGTGCACAATCGCAACAAATGGCATTTTTATTGATATTTCGGTCGGTTCGCCTGGCAGCCGCATGTTGAAATATGCGCGCCACCTGTTGATTTTGTTTGGCGATTGCAGGAGGACCTATACTACCCGAACCTATACCTACAAATATACCTCTGGCTGCTCGTGATTTGCGCTGCAAATTAAAAGCGAGGGCGATGCATATAAATAGCAATTTGGACAGGCGAATTAAGGTAAACGACTGCCAGCCACAACAAATCGAGTCATCGGAAGGAGGAGTGCAACCATAAGCCAGAAATACGCCGAATGGTTGAGTTGTCTTGTCACATAATGGAGTGGAATTATATCAACGGCGTGACTTTAATTTCTTGAAAATGAAACAGAGGTGGGCTGACGCTCGAGCTGTGACTGGGGAATGCCAAGGATGCTGAGCCAGTAGAATGCAATCAAGTAACTCAAACAGAAGTAAAACTTTTGCATAAGAGCTTTAAGAAGTGGAGGGAAGAATTAATAAGATGCTGAAGATTATGAAATAATAAAAAAGTTAACTTATATAGAAGATAGTTTTTCCAACAAAATTAAGGAGAACATAAAGGAGATCGTAAATATTATGGTAAATAATAAAATTCTGTAGAATTTCCTTTTGGTTTCCGTGTGAATCTCTGCAACCCTCGAAAAGTGGAAACTTTTAACTAACCCAACTTGTTACCAAACCAACTTGCAACGAACTTTATCAGCGGCTGCTTGCCCACTCAACGTAACTTTATCAGACGGCCTGCATCCAATTAAAGGTCTTTCCGAGTATTTAGGGTATTGCCTGTTCGTTTGCTCTAATAAGATAAGCCATCGTAGGGGACTCTATGGACACTCCACACCACTCCAGTCCAATAAAGTTGTTGACAGGTAGAGAGATTTAGATAAAACTCTGATAAGAAGCAAATTTGACAGTCATAAAGCAACTGGCAAACAGACAGCTACAAGATATACCTCAATGGGAACTTAAATTACAAAAAAAAAAATGTAAGAAAAGTAAGAACAAAATTAATGAAACCTGTTTTGGAGGATTTTTATTGTTCTCCATCTGTTTAATTAAAAGACAATCAAAAGCCAGAGCCGCAACTGGCAGCTGATGGAACAAAAGACCAACCAGCGGATGCCCAAAGAGTTCATCAAAATCAGGAGCAAACTTCCAGATACGAGATACAAAACTGCCAAAGATACACGATCCCCGGCTTGTGAGGAAAACCTGCTCTGGATCGGGCTCAGGATCGAGATCGGGATTCTTTATCGACATGTTTATGCGTTGGGCTTTGCCCCCCAAAGCCCAGAAACAACAAGAAGTCCCACAAATGTATAAATATTTACACGAAATATTTACGATTAGAGCATAGCATTGAGGGGGCAGCCGTTTAATGAAATGCTAACGATATTCATTGGAAAAATCACAAGCGTAACGAGCCCGGGGAGGAAAAAAGCCGCAGATGCCAGAGTTTACATTTCAGAACGCTGAAAGCTGAACGTTAAAATGGTTTTTTCCTTTCTGGCCACAACGGTCTTGCAACAAAGGCAACGAATTATGTAAATGCTGGGGAAATTGTTTCGGCCTCAACCCGGCAATTTTCACCGAGCCACGAGCTGGGAGCAACATTTTCGGCAAATCAATTTCAATTGCCAGGCCCAGGAGGCGGTCTGAGCCAAAGTGATGGGGGCGTGGCCGGTCATGGCTTATAATAATAATTGAATACATAGGCGAACGGTCTGGCACAGGGTGGAGATGCATTGGCAATTGAATTGAGGCCAGGAGCAGGAGCATCATACTGGCAGGTGTAACTTGGCCAAAATGGAAACCATAATGAAAATGCTACTCGGAGGCTGCCAGCCGCCTGCCAGATAGTTTTAGCCAGCCTGCGGTTATGGCAAGTCCGAAATGCAATTCTGGGTAAAAGTCTGGGTAGGCTGGAATGCTTTTGGTATGCTCCTGGTAGGCTTCTGCTCCTGCTTCTGCTCCTGCTATGGAATGTATAATTAAAGCAAATGTGTTTCATGATTGGACCCGAAATCAGGGTCAAGTATCGCAGCTCATTTGAATGCCGTGCCATCAAGCAATCCAGCAATATTGCAATCTGGCTATCCGGCTATCCTGCAATTATCCCATCGCCAGTCATAAACGACCACACAGCGAATCCCATGGATACTCCTCGGCTCATCACCGGGTACCTCCCTTCATTTTCGTGGCCATAGCCACTGTAATAACTGTAACTCTTCATCAAAATAATGTAATTATCAAAATTGTTTTCCTTGAAATATGTTTACATCATTTCTGCAGTTTCTTATGCAAGTGGGCACAAAAAAAATCAGAGATGGCCAAGAGGAGATGTCTTACTTTTAGACACTTTTGTATACCCTTTTTTACAAAATTTGAATATCTAATTTTTATGCATAACTGTAGCTTAATATCTGTGTTTAAAGTGTAACAAAAATCTCAAAATATTTACTTATAAAAAAGGATATTTTTTGTGGAACCTTATCCCTCAAAACTCTTACCTTTAGCTAGAGTAACCTGCATGCAAAGCGATTCCCGTTAAGAGCCACTTGA